ACCAAATTGGTACAATAAAAGTTGCATTTTGACAAGAATTATTGGGTTTGTTTGGATATGAGTTTATTTGGATGGTTTATTTAAGATAATTACTGTAACACTTTTTGTGATGTGATGTATGTGAGATAAAAAGGTGATTGGAATTTGTGAAGCAAATTATTTTATTTGAAATCATCTCAATCCAAACAAACATATTGTTGCATTTTGACAAGAAACTGTTGTTTGAGACACTTAACTAACAAGTGGCATGAAATTTGACAACAAACTCAACCAACCAAAGCCATTTCTTTTCCCCATTTAACTCATAATCTTACTTAGTTCAGCCCTTCAACTGATGAAAGCAAAGCAACCTTCTTGTGCATATCTTAGTTGACACAAAAACTCACTCAGCAAATTCAAAGTGGCTTTCATTTTGATTTGTGAAACTTAATTCATCTTTACAGCTTTATCAAAAATGTCCGATGCAACAATCTTCAATCAGTTAAAGTACAGCAATTACTAACACAAACATTTCCCAACTTCAGCTGTTGGTTTTGGTTTTAAGGCCAAATCAAATAAGAGAACCCTTACAATCAAGCTTGGGAAAGAGTTCAATGAATCAACAGAAGCCAGATCTTTGATGTTGTTACCTCCTGGAAGATGCGAGATAGTAAGAGCAAGCAACCAAACAAAATTTCAGAGGAAGGAAAAAGTTGACATATAGTTGTCTAGAAAGGGTTGAGTGCAGTTACACAATTACCTAGCAGAAGGCAGTGCAAACTTTGAAAAGGCTTAAAATTTCTCCCAACTGATTCATTACCAGCTCCATCTGATGTACTATGTTCGGGGTACCATATTTCATTCAAACTATTTTTGTTTAACAGAAGCTGCTCCAAACTGAAATCAGGAGCCACAAGAGTAACATCTGATGATAGTACTTAGATTCAGTAACAATAAGAAGACACTTTTATCTAATACCTTTTTATTTTTGAGAGCTTCATAATTTCGTTCCAATCAGCTAAACAATTTTCTTCCAAGTTAAGAAGATGCAGATAATCAAATCCTTCTACTCTCATGGAAGATGATAGCTGGACAAAAGACAAAACATAAATAATCCATAATAGTGGTTATACATGAAATTTAGTAAATTGAATGCAATCTGGGATGGAGACCTCTTTTGAGATAACAAGTTTGACTACTAATGTCGAGAAAATTGGTTGTTGCTGGTCTTCCATTTCTAGATCATATACAAGGATAAGAGCCAACTCTCTAAGAAATTGGGCTGAGTGATTATCATGGTAATTAACTGTTATTTATATTTTTATTCAGTGTCTAAACTCTGCCTAATGCAGCTGACTCATTGAATTACATAGATCACCAGGTTAGCTCATCTCATACACTTTTTTGCTGGTTCACAATGCAAATGTTAGTGCAATGGTCCTTTTTTTTTTTTGTCACACCAGATTTTCAGGAACTTTGAGTGACAAATCAAAGGCAAAATATCATGGCAATGGGAAAACACTGACCGTAATTTCTTTTATATTGTTCCCTATCAGATGAAGCTCCTCTATGCATGGAACTGAATCTTTAAGCATTTCAACCTGCCCAATGAGATCATATATTAGAACAGGTATCATCACACGTTTAAAGAAAGGAAAAGCATCAACAACAAAAGAAACTTGAACTATCAAGAGGAGCCCACACCTGCTTCCAGTTTATGCCGATATGGTTCAAAACTAGAATCCTTATATTGTGTAGCTTGGGTATCTCAACTGTATCATGTAACATTGAACTGTGGGATAGATTGAGAACTTCAAGTGCAGGTAACTCTTTACATATGATGCCAACATCCTGCATGAAGATTTTCCTTAGACTGCAGTTACTAAGCTTCAAGAAGATTTCCCTCTTTAAGGATAACAAGCACATTATTTACAATGATTGCATATGAAAGGGTTCAAGAATCTCAGGAAGTGAAAAGGATGAGCTGATGTATGGTTGTATACTACTGATAGGATCTGATCAAAGCTAAAGTTTCCTTAGAACACAAAACTCATAATTATTAAGAGTCATTATTTGGCCATAGGCATTTCTCTATTACAGATTAGTTTGAGTAGATATGTGTGCAACAATTCTGCATAACAATATACAGAATAAAAGTGTTAAACGGATTATAATGGACATATGCAAAAGAGTGCAGAGACCATTAATATCAGGATTATTGGGTAAAGCATGCAATCAATATGAAAGGTAGCAGTAATCAATTATCACTATGACAAAAGCTCTAACAGGTCATCATTTTTATCCCCCAATTTTTTGGATGTATATCTTTACCAGCAAATGGACATACTTTCCAATCAGAAAGCAGATTCCCAGTCAAATCCAGCTGCTTCAAATCTGCAATGAATCCAATGTAAGATCTTCAATAGTCATAGGTCTCACAAAATAAAAGCTGGCCGGGAGGGGGGAAATGTTTTGCAAAAGAAACAGATATTGGGTCATAAAATCAGAGAGGAAATAGAACAAGTAAAAGGATGGCAGAGAAACATCGAAATACTTGAAAGGCTTTGACTACTGAAATTGAAAATTGTGAAACATACAAATGTGGAACACTGTTAAGAGAAGTGGAATGTAGAATATACAAAATGACTGACCATAGAGGCCAAACTCACTTGGTAGAGTATTACTGATTTGGCCTGAAGGTCCAGGAGAGCTAACCCCCAGAAAAGAGAGTGACACGCCCGTCAACTCTTCAAATCTACTCAGCTTGTTTTGAATTTTTTCTTTGCCAAGAAGCTCAATTGATACCCGTTTATTCGTTGAAGAAAGCACATACATCTCATCTGGAATATACCACAGAATTACACTTAAAACCTATATATTGCAGTTGTCATCTTTACAAACATGAAAACGGATGAAAAGAAAACTGATAAAACGAAAGAATACAACACTAACATGAATATACATAGGAAAATAGTGACAAAAACAATAGAGGTATAATCACAGTAGCAGCATAAATATTAAAAACTCTACATTGCATTTCACATTTCAAGGAAACATGAAACAGTCATTATCCCTTGAACCGCCATTTTCACCAAAACAAAACAAAGAACTGAAAATGCTTTAGGCAAGGACTAAAGATACAGCCATTGAAGCAGAGAATACAGCACCATCTCTAAGCAACAACAAGAACTCCACACCCCATTTCACGTTTTCAAAAACCACCAAAATCCCGTCACGTTTCACTAACAAAAAAAAAACATAGCGTACAACCTTTAAAGCACACAGTACAACACCCGATTCAACTTTCGGATATGCCTATTACCTTCTTCTTCTTTAGTGGAAGTGCCACGATAGCGAACTTGAAGGGCCTCCAAAAGCGTGATCCCCGAGCTCAAGTTATGCGGGCGGACGAAAGACGCTGTCTTGAGCCCTCTGGCTTGGAAATACTGGACGCCATTGTGCGAACCGTCGTGCTTGCCTTGGCCGTCGTCGTCCCAGTCGACTCCGACCCATGTCCCCGAATAGCCTTCCACGGGTCCCACGTACTTGACCGTTCCGATTCGCCTGGTGTCGCCGGTGGAGTGAACTCTCTGCCCGCACTTGAATGCAGATGCAGAGTCTGTTGCTCCGGGTTGGGATTCTTCCCGGGTTGGTTGAGGAGGCAAATCGGAGCTCTTCGTCGTCTGCATTGTGGTGGAAGCTAAACGACAGCTGAGTTGCTCCCAATTCAGTCACAGCTTAAAAATCTGATGAGTCGGTTTTGGATTGGAGTCCTTAAACTGTACGGGTGTATTGATTTCGAAAGTTGAAGGGGGGAAAATATTAATGAGGAAAGAAGAAGGGGGGGGGGGTAAAATGTATTCTTGGGAAGAGGAAGAAAAGCAGAAGAAAGAAAAGAAGGGCAAAATAGCATAAATGATTACTAAATTAATTAAAGTAATCCATTTTGATTGTTGAATTTTTGAGGAAATGTCACGAAGTATCACTCAACTATTTAACAATTCATTGTTTTGATTATCAAATCGTTTTCTTTTTTTTTTAGCCAAAATGGTCATTCAACTGGTTAGAACATATATTTTGTGACAAAAAAACATATATGTTTTCATTTGTCGAGTGGCTTAAAAATAATAGTTTTTATTAATTGAATGACAAAATATATGTCTTTTTAATAAGTTAAATTACATTAGCAAAACAAAAAGTCTAGCGGTCAAAATAGGTAATTCTATACAGTTTGGCAACTATTTTTGCTATTTACTTCAAAAAAGATTGATTATTCAACTAATATAAATGTAATTGACAAAATAATAATAATAATAATAATAGTTTTGGAGAGAAAATTGTATATATGATTTTATTACGTGAGTGACAAAAAACATAAAGTATTTTATTAGTTGAATGATAAAATACACGATTTTCTCAGTTGAATAATTATTTTGACACAAAAATATGTTTACTATTAACCAAAATAGGAGAATTTAGCCTCACGGGGTGGTTCAACGATAAATGGGCTCTTAAAGACTCTTGTGGTTTTGGATTCGAATCTTATCCTGAACTTGAACTCGTGACTCGTCCGGAGTCGCTGCATGGAGCCATGGCGCACTCCTCTTGTTTGGTGTGTCGGCTTGGTCCTAAGGATTTGAGTCCGAGTATGTTCCGGGTTATAAAAAAAAAAGGAGAATTTAAAATAGTTTGATGATGATTTGTACTACTATTTATGGTTGTTAAAATCGCAATCCGGATCGTAGGATCGTACGAAAGACAAAATCGATCCGGATCACACTTAAAATCGCAAAATACACTAATCTACATAGAATCGAGTTAGGATCGGTAAGATCGCATAAGATCGTACGATCCAACTTCGATTCTACAAATTTTTTCTAATTTGTGAAATACGAGACTCATTTTGCAAGTAAATGAAAATATTTGGGGTAGGCTTGTAATTTATCAAAGAATTGGAGCCTTTAGTTGCAATGTTTTAACAATTTTTGCCTCAAAGTCAAAAAGTTCCGTCAAACAGCTTCGGTTCTTCTTCATCTTTCCTCAAGCATTCCTTTGTCATTTCTCTTCTCCTCTCCGCTGCCCAAATCAAATCCCTAATTTAACCATCAAACCACCACGGCTGCAGCTCTTACCAAGTACTAACAAGACGAAATCGCTGCGGTTTCTAGTATCTACCAAGAACCCACAAGCTACAGCCGACAGCTTCAAGGCTTCAAGCTCCAGCAGCCATTGCTTCGGTCAGAATATCAAGCTACGAAATCCTCTGTTGCCGTTTGATTTTGGCCGTTTCAAGCTTCAAAGCTTGAAGCTCCAGATTGGCCAGGGGAAAGTTATCAGAGGTAATATTAATCATTATTGTGCCCCGTCTGTTAATTCTTGTCTCAAAGAAATTTCCTTTGTAATGATATCCCATTGTTTGTGTTACCATTGTGGAGTAGCTTATAAAAATTGTTTTACAAAATGTTTGATTAAAAAAGGAGGAATATTTAAGATATTCTGCCGAATATTGGTGAGGACTGGATAGGGTAGATTAGATGACTTAGCTGATGTTAGAGTCTAGAGGTTAGGAAAATGTGCGGAGCCACAGGGACTCGTTTTAATGGTAAAGATGGAAGCTTTAAATCTTTAATAAAACCCAGCGAACATTTGAATTGACCGAAATTCCAAAAAGGATGTGAATTCTTTTTTTTTTTTTTTTTTGTCAAATATCAACTTCAATATATAGGAAAAAAGGATGTGAATTCGAATACCTTACAGTGTAACTAATCATTCTTACTTAAGGAGACTTTTCTTGAATTATTGTCCTTTTTATTTAATTTTGTTGGGGAGCGGGATTGTAATGCCTTTTCTCAGAAAATCTATATATTTTCTAGGCTGGGGATGGGGAGTTCTTTATGTTGAGATTAGCTTTGTTATTGTGCATTCTGTATAATCTGTTTGGGTGACAGCAAACAGATTTTAGTGTTTGTAATACTTACAAGAAATGTGCAGAGAGTTTGTAAGTTTCTTTCTTTCTGCCAATTTAAGTATAAAGTTTATCTTTTTTTTTTTTAGTTTTTATAGTTTTATTTTGCAAGTTCTCTTGTTTTTGGTAACTTTCATTATTATTGTTTGTTTATTTAGATGATCATGAAGATCGTTAAACCCATGTCCGTCGAAGACAAGTTAATAAAATGAAAGTGATTCATGTTATTGATGAGGATGATGGGCCTTCAACTGAATTCAACCGTCAAGATGATGATTATCTTGATATGGTTCCCGAAAATGATGTTCAAATGGGAACTAATGATTTGGATGATACTAATTTGGATGGTGATGAAGATAATGCCGAAGATGAATTCCAAAAGAATTGGGATGGTGAAGATGATTGGGAAAATAATGATTTTGATAATGTGGATTATGAGAATAATGAATTTGATTCAAACGATGAAAATGATTGGTTATAAATTAATGTATTTCTGAATTATTATGATACTTGAAAATGATGAATTGTTGCTATTTTATTTTTTATTTTTTCATGTTTGTTTAAACTTGACAGATGACATTCTAGTAGTTAATTTTGATCTTGAAAATCTTTTTGGATGTTTGGCTTTTTAGTATTTTGTGAAGGTTGATGATTAATTTATATTTGAAATTATGATTGTGTAAACTGTGAAGTATTTGGTTTTAAGACTTGAAATCATGACAGATAACAGGTTTATATTCTCTTCTTTATTGCTTGTCAGATAGTAAGTAAAAAATACTATATATTTATGAGTAACTTATTTATTTGATATATTTTAGGATGTACAAAATGGTATATGAATTTTAAATTCATTAATTTAGTAAATTTAGGAGTTTTTGGTGGGATCTTACGATCCTACGATCCGATTCTGTGAAACTAAAATCGATCCGACGTGGAATCCCGATTTTACAAACCTTGCTACTACTATGTACTAAAACAAAAGAAAGAAATGAGAAAAGGACAAGGCTGTGGAAGGGTCGAAGCCAAACGACATCGTATGACTCCCTGAAGATTGGAGAGAAAAAGGGGAAAAAGAATATGAAAGAGCATCATTTTTCGAGCTCGGCTTTGGTGTTCTCTTGGCTTCACTCCTCTGCCCACATCTTTCTTCTCAAAAACCCAACAAAATCCATTAGTGATTCATGAATGCCCATTAGTTAATCAATTAATCTTATCTATTTTGCCTGTTCTATGCTTTATTATGATCTTCCTTTCCGCAGGAAAGAACGGGAAAAAAAATCGTTGCACATCTTTTCTGCTAATGTACTTATAATTTGTATACTTCGTGTGCTTATTTGTTTGCCTAATCTAAAGGTTGGATTTTCAGCATGATTTGTGTTGATTTTTGGGAATGGCTTGTGTGTTTGAATTGGGTTTATGTTGTGTTGAATAAAGTAAAGGGTTCCAACTCACTCAGAGAAGAATGAGAATCTGGAAAACCTGCAAGTTTCTCAGATTAGGAAATAGAAACAAGGGGTCGTATGTTCCTAAGAATTCAACTTCTTTTCGTTGCCTTCAGTTTTGAATGCTCTCAGAGTAAGATATTGCAACACATTGTTTTGAATTGGCTGAAAAGATTTGCCCTCTGTATTAACTGGTTAGGTATCTGGCAATGTCCGATATTTTCGAGAAAGTTGTAAGCAGAAAGCCTGAGCTTCTGGGGAGTGAAAGAATGTGACTGATTTAAAGCTGCTAGTGATATTACCTACATTCCAAGTGTTAAGATTTTTGCTTTCTTGAGCCTGCAAGAGGAAATTTTGATCAATCTCAATGTGCTTTAGTTTTGTGTAATAACTCTTTATTATCTTTCTCAAAAGAAATTGCAAGCAATAGAAAGTTTTCTCAAATTTTGGTTGTTTCAATTAGAAATACTCCGTCAAATCTGAATTTGGTTGACCATAACAGATAAACAATGAAATTGCCAAGTTGGTCGCTAACAAAATACTGCAAAGAAAGGAAGTGATATAAACAAGAGATAGATCATTTGTTAGACTGCATTAAGCTGTACTGATGTGAGAAACGGTATTGAAAAGAAAGAAAAACATTTTTCGAGATCTATTACTCTATTTTGCCCTTATCCATGTATGTTTATGTTTTTCTGTAATTAATAAATTGAAATTCTTTTGTCTATTTGTCTCTCTTTCTCTAGACACGCACACACTTCACATACTTTTTTATATTGGTTTGGCAGGGAATTTTAATTTGACAAAATTGTGCAGAATGGCGTCGACAATGAAAAATCTGAAAATAAAGACTTCAACGTGCAAGCGCATAGTCAAAGAGCTCCATTCCTATGAGAAAGAGGTCGAGAGAGAGGCTGCCAAGGTTGCAGACATGAAGGACAAAGGAGCTGATCCATATGATATCAAACAGCAGGTCCTGCATTAGTTCTAATCATATAGTGGTTTCTTACCGCACGTGTAATGTCAACCTAGAGAAGGTGGTATCAGACTTAGCACAGAGTGCCTTTATTAGTCATTATGTCAAAAACAAGTAATCTTTATTGTTCATCACAAAGTTGAGGAAAGAAAAAGGAAGATAAGTGATGACATGCCATATGTTAGCATCGAGTATTACTGATAACAAGCTTGATCTCCCATAGGGAAAGTAAACCAGAACAAAATTGGAGATCCTTACATCAAAAGCGAAATTCCCAGATAGTCAATCTATCCAAAATCACTTGAATAAGCTAATGACATAATAGTTTTGAGAGTTAACATGTTTGGGAATTTTTGTCTACCTAATACGGGCCAAAATCATATCTTCCTTTTATGGAAGGCAGTGGGAAACTTCAAATTAGGTTTATAAACCACTCCTTTTGAGACTCTTGTTGCTGCATCATTTACTGCAATCCTCTTGAATAAAGTATTAGATAAATGATTTCAAGTTTGGTCCTTAAAGTAGTCATTGAGGAACTATTTTACACTGTCCTGCACATTTTTTTGTATCTGGAGTCTGGAGGGGATGCATGTGAATGCTGTTTGGTTTTTCCTTCTTACTTGTTCCTATGCAGTTAGTTTACTTTCTGGATCACTGCCTTTGACTATAAATCTTTAGCCTTTTGGTTGGACCAGATAATCAGGAAAATTCACAATTCTGACCTCTTGCAGGTGAACCTCAACAATTAGTGGTGATCTAGATTTTTTTTTTAATAGTAAAACTACTAAAGCTGTCTGCTTTGGGAACTTACCCAATTTTTGGTTATTCTAGCCTGATAATACCATTCATTATTTAAAAACCTATAATACCTATAAGCTATTCAAGATCCTACCCATTATTTAAAGACTGTAGTCATGAAAGGCCTCCACTTCCCTCCTTTCAGTAATGCTATGATGGTCTCTTCCAATTTGCAAATGTTAAAGCCGGTTATGACTATTAAGAAGGAAAATGAGGGACAAATATTATTTCAGTCTTTCTTCACAAAGTCAAGTTAGCAATTGGCAGCGCTACTTGTATTGCAATTGAGGAAAAAATCATTGTGTATGCAAGTGTTTATTGAGTATATTAGTTCAAACTCTAACTTTATACCCTTAATTTGTTCTTTGCATTGAGGATGGGTGTGTACATCGTTTGATGCATGGCATAGTTGTAAGCTTTTTTAGCCGGATATATCTGTTATGCAGAGTGGGTCTTTAAATTGTTCTGGTGAGTTGACTCTTAAGGATGGCCTGACTGCTTGAAGCTTGCTTTTGATCAGTGAGACAGTTTTTACATGACGGTTAACAGATAGAAGTTGCGAAACTTGCTGTTGAATTTTTTCTCTAATAATTCTTTCTTTTGTAGTAGAGTATCCTATTATAACGTTCTTGCAATTGTTGAATTATGCAGGAAAATGTGCTTGCTGAATCTAGGATGATGATTCCTGATTGCCACAAGCGTCTAGAAGCTGCCTTGGCTGACCTGAAAAATATTCTGGTAAGTTATATGTTGATGTTTAGTGTAACAGCAATTTATTTGAATTAGCTGTAATGATAAGCTGAAGTGCCTAAATGAAGATAACTTCTGCAATTGGGAATATGAAACTGTAAATTTTCTGTCAAATTCACTTGCTCCTATGTTTTTGGTGGGATTTGATTAGAGTAAGATACTAATTTATTTTGGAGATATATGCTTCTTGTCACATGATTTCTTGATTGAGGTGCTATATTGGAGTGAAATTTATCTTTGCGTCCTGCTTTTGATGGATATTCACTTTTTGTAGCTTGAAAAGTGTTAACTTTGGATTTTGTATGACGCATATTTTTAATGTCGTATTACATAGGATGAATATCCCATCCTGCCAAAATAATGATGAAACGTTCTAACTAGTTGTTGCAGGAAACTAGGACTTGATTGCATTTTCAGTGCATTTCAACTTGGGCTTTTGCGCTGCATCTAAGTTGGTTATTTCACCTTTTCCTGACATCATTTACGTTCTTCAAGACTGGAGATGTGATGGTGCTGATTTGCTGTTTTCCAAACATAATTTGATGGAATCTTTTGTTGAATTTTAGTTGATTCACTCAGACATAGCTAGTTGTTTCTAGTGCTAGAGGGAGATCACTTGTCTGGTTCTGGTTTGTACTAGATTAGTAGTTGTGCTTCTGTGATTGCTGTCGTGTTTCATTGGTATCAATTTGATAATTCAACTGTTTGGAGTATATGAGGAATTCTGCTTGCTGACTGCTAGTCACACAATCTTGTTTCAGCTTGAGTTGGAAGAGTCAAACGAAAAACATGGAGCAGAAGTTGAAGAAGCAGAAAAAGTGATAGCAGAGGTTGAACAGTTGTTTCAAGCAGGCAACTAGTGTCTAGGCTTTTCCTGAAACTGTTTTGGGTCAGTTAAGTCTTACTTGAATTTGTATGAATACAGAATACCTATCCACACTTGCAGCTAATATCTGATCCAGCTCTATTGGGATATCAAGTTTCCCTTCTTGTGTTTGGGATAAATGATTATCTGTTCATCATTTAGTAAAATATTTTTGTATTTAATTTTACTTTCTGTTTTTCAGCGAAGGTTTTCTTTGTATGCTCAGAATCTGTTAATTGGTCTGTGAATCAGACCTCAGCTTGCATCTTTTGGAATTATTGATTAGCTGCAAGTTGCATGTAATGATTAGTCTTTGAAAGGTGACACCATTGATGCAACTTGAGAGTTCAGGATAATTTGTCAATGGGATCATGTTATCTGGAGGGACTAATGAGCCTGATCGAGACTCTTAATTGATATTGAGATTTGAAAACAACACTTCCAACTAGGTACTTGTGCCCATGGCTGGAATTTCCACTCTACCTCTTTTGCTAGCATCTAGCATGTTTTATTTTTAGCATCAAAATCATGGCCCAAACGGATGCTAGAAAAACAGTTTTACACATGTTATGGTTCTAACTAGCATTAGAAGCGATAAGTTGGGAACTTGAATGGTTTCTTTCAGTTGCTTCTTGCCGATGAAAATGATTTCTTGGAAGTTTAAAAATCAAATTTTGTGACTATTGTTTTTGGCCCATCAGCCTGTTTGCTCCCCTTTCTTGCTCACATTATTTTGAATGTCATAAACTGATGTTCGTTTCGGTTCTGTGATTCATTATATTTGCCATTGTCGTTTGTGTGGAATTAACTGATCACAGTTTCATTGGCGTTGAGCATTGTTCTTATTGTACTATTACTGCTAATTAGTAACTAAAAGCATCATTAGAGCTACTTGGAAATGTATTTTTGAAATAGCACAATTCCCCATGACTAGAAGAGCTAGCTGAAACCAAACTTCTCCGATTTTGACAATCCCTTGGACAATCTGAGATTTGAATAACGAAAGTGACCTGATCGTATTCACTTAAAGAACCACAAGTTTTGATCATGTAAATAAATCAGCCACAATTGGGGTATCCACAATCCTTTTTTTTTTTTTTTTTAACTTTATTTTAAATGCAAGTAAAAGGTCTCGAACTTGGGGTTTCTCATTTATACGGTTATACTCCTTCTTCCGTACCACCCAACAGTTAATAGCACACACGCACACACATATATATATATATATACACACACACAAAGTATGCTTCATGGTCTTGTATTTTAGATATTGTGATATAAGAAATGTGGTGACATATATACTTTTTAGATGAAAGACACTACAAATTTACTTATACAGTATTATACCACAAGCTATACACAGATTATTTCTTTAATCCTCGTTTCTAGGGATGTACATGCTTGATAAAGAAATGGTCTTTCTCTGAAAAGCATTGTCCAAAGGTGAGGGCCATGATACAGAATAATAGAAATTTGAAGGGTGGGTGAGACAGACTGAGAGATTTCAAGAATATTAATCAATGTTAGTGATAAGGATTGGGGAATTCGAGGAGTTAATTCATTGCTTATCCGCAAACAATTCGATGAGGGTTGTCAATTATTCAACATCCAAAATTGGATTACACTTAATGATTGAACCAATTTTGGACTCTAGAAGGCGACATTGCACATGAACAATTCAAAGGCCATTTCGTGGATCATGTGAGCTGAAATCGCTCAGGACTGATGATGCTTCTCAACCCTTCAAGAAAGGCATAATTTGTACACTTTGAAGTTAATAAAGTAGTTACTTTTAGAGGCAACTCAAAAGTATTGTATTCCAGCTTTACTGCTTTAGGGTTGAGGAACAAAAACCCAATCTGGAGACATTATTAAAAATGCTGTCTCCTAATAATATGTTGAAATTTGACTTTTTGGGTGCCTAAATTGACAACTTTCTTTCTTGCCTTTCTTTTATCTTTCTAGTGCATTAAGTTTAGGTCAAATTGCACCCTCATTTCCAGTTGTAAGAAACTCTATACCCTCGTTTTTTGATGTTGATCATCAAAGAGGCATGTTGGATTGGATACTCGAACATGGAATGTTCCATATGAACTTGAGAGACTCTGGCATTTTCTCACCTATACACAACAAAATAAATTAAATGCTAAAGAACAGTTGTCACACTAGAAACACAAGAACATGCCCTGCAATATTTTGTAAGTCACCATTTGGTATATTGCAGACCGTAATTTATCCCAGACAATTAGACAGTCATATCAATCAGCTAGGCTCTTGACATTTCAACAGCCAAACAAGATGGAAAATTATTCTTTTTTTTTAAAAAAAATTTAATTTGGGTTTTCTTTTCTTTTTTCTTTTTTTTAAGGGCTAACCCCGCACATAGGGGAGGGAGCCACTTTTGGAATTTTATTAATAAGCTAGAAAAAAAGAAAAGGGAGGGAGACATAAACCTGAACTCCATAATTACATGAATTTTTGAAAAAAGTCGCGAAATTAAGAGTACTACTCCTTTTTATAAGTGATTTGAAAATACCTAAGGCTATCCTCGTCCAAAAGAAGGAAATCCTAAATTATCAATTTATCTTTAGATAGATTAGGATAAAGTATGATATAGATAAAATAGCGACGAATGATAAAAAAAAAAAAAGAAGATCCCCGTGAACCATCCTTGGCAAAGCTGAAAAATGATCATAAACCTTGTTAGTAGCTTCAAATACCCCAATATTAGCCAGCCTATCCGCAAGTTTATTAGCCTCCCAAAGGCAATGGGAAATCTGGAAAAAGTATTGCTTAAATTGAATCAATTCATCAAAACCCTCTGAACATTCCATGGAACATTGACACGGCCGCCCTCAATCATATCCACCAACACCGTTGAATCTGATTCAATATTTAAGGCCAAAAAACCTTTTTGAAAGGTTGGTTTTTCTTTTCTTGTTGACAATTTGATCAAGTTGGTAATTAGCTTAATTAGGTACTTGTTAGTGGACGTGCATGCTTCACACCGAGTTGAACATTGAAAGGATGCAGAAACAACCTTGACTCTGGATCTCCATAATCAGCCTACATATCTTTAGCTCCGTATAATTATCTACACCTCAGATATAAACTGGATTCTTTAAACATGTTCTTTAGGTTGATGCCTTTCGCTTTGCCTCTAATTGAAAGTAACCATAGTTTTGTTGAAGTCACGATCTTTGGCTTTGCTTCATTGGATGGTTGTTTTCAGAAAAACTTGGAAGATAATCCAGGCTACTCTGCTGATTAATAAAAGCTTAAGATTAAAATATAATGAGGTCTTACCAGTCATTGTGCAGAAGCTCAACTCGTGTTGATTATATGTGTCATGTGCTGCTATCACATTTACTTTCCTATTTTAATTTTTTTTTTCACAGAGATGCCTGGTCATATATTGTTGTGGTTTAGTCCAATCTTCTTCCAATAACCTACATTTTAGAACTAGAAAAACATGTTTCTATGAGGCAGATATTGTTCAATTGCATAGTCTAGCCTCAGAATTAATTTGAGCACTGAACCTTGAGAAAATACACCACAATCAAATCCTTGACTCTTCTTAACCATTAGGTTTAAGTCAGAGGGAGAAGAGATTCGCTTGCATTAATAAGTCTTGTAGATTCTAAAGTGCTCATTGCTTTTTTTTTATCTAGACAGGTGGCACCAGCCATCTGTGGACTTTTTCGATTTGTATAAAGTAATGGACTAATTCAACTTTACACTTGCTAATTAAAGTTTAAGGTAGACAATGAGATTAAGTTACAAAGTGGAGTTAGTCCTAATGGAGTTGCAGTTTGCTCAAATAGTCAAATGTACACAGGAAAAAGGAGAGTTAGGAGAAACTGCTCTAGAGTAGATAGCCAAGGATACCATTGATTCACAGCTTCACACCACATGGTGTTAATGTATATTGATTCACTTCTTGGTCTATGTATTGTATCTCATTCAGTCAATCAATGTTTGGCATATCAATTATAAGCTCATATGTAATGACCGATGTGATATGGGAAAAAATAAAAATTTCTCAACCAATTAAGATAGTAATATGTTTGACGTAGTAGTTTTTTAACATTTTAGATTCTCGAGAAGGTAGTACTATATTTGCATGAATGATAAATGGAGAGATAAACCCAATATATTAACGTGTAAACAAAGAAAATGGAGATGTTATATGTTTTATTGCACTAATTAATGAGGTCCTGCAACCGAATTGACTAACGTTGCTTTATACATGGCTGCAACATTTATTAACTCAGAAAACATTTATTTTAGAAGAAATCTTAGTATATATATATTTGTGAATAACTTACTTATCTATGAAGAATTTGACAAGCTTGAGAACTAGAAACACCCTGCGATACAATGCTGGAGCCAAGTCTGAAATGTTGACAGCCGCATGGCAAATAAATGGTTGGAACCCCATGTCATGAATCCGGTGAAGCTAGCTACCAGCAAATTTTTTTCCCCTCAAACCCTTCTAGAAAGCACAAGAAGACGACGACATGGTATAAAGCCATTCATGATTCTCACCGGCCAGTGCCCCATTCTATAACATTACTTTCCAGCTTCAGCTTTGACGTTGAGTAACAAAACTTAAGCACAAAGCTAATCATTGTCGTAGACTAAAATGTTATCCTCTACACACCTTATCATTTGGCCACATCATTCATACATACAAGATCAATGCATAAGTTGACGTAGTAATCAATGGATGTTCGCTCAATTGGGATGAACAAACTACATCTTTTTAAAAAACTAATTTTTTTTAAAAAAAAGATTATATATTCGAATCTTACTACTGCTAATGCCAGGACTGTAGTGTGATGATGACTGGAGATGAAACCACTTGAATTTTTCATAAACAAAAAAATATGACATAGTGATTAGGTGATCGTATTAGTTGCAAAACTCCATCAAAGTTGGTTTCCTTTTTCGGCTACTTAAATTATTTGATCATGTTGACTATTGATTGCAGGCATGTTTGCAATTAAGATCCCTCAACAAGGATTACATAATGATGATGAAATTAAGACCCTCATGATGTTGCTTCTTGTCAAAAGCTACAGCTACACGAGAGAATTAAGTGCACGAGCTAGTACAGTTGGCATGGTAGCTGCACAGCAGTGCGTTTTTGGATTGTCTAAAGGGTCACCACTCGGTAGATTTTCCTCTGCAAGATGGAGGCCAGTAACTGAAGATTGAACAGATTTAGGAAAAGCGTTGAAACAAGGTTACCAAGATTTGGGAAGGGAAAAAAAAAACCAAGTCTAGTAAACACACAAATGCAGTATGATTGTTTATCCAACACAGTTGGACATGGTTTTAGTAATCAGGACCAAGACAGTTCAACAGATTAGGATTAATTTAGTGTTATCCCTGTTGCGGGGAATCTTCTCTGTTGACAAATTGATCAAGTTGTAAACTAAGTTAGGTAATTTAGGCTTCTTAATTTATGTGCATGCTTCAAATCATCTTGTATATTGAAAAGAAGTAGAACCATTCTTGACTTTAGATCTCCATATTCAATCCTTGTGTTTCTGGCTCCTACCATGATCTATACCACAATTAAGCTGGATTCATTAGAGTAGTCGAAGGCGTAGTTGAAAAATTAGTTTTGCAAGAAGAAACCATCTGTTGACCATTACAGTGTGCCTCTCCCACTGTTTATGCATAACTACAGTAGAACCAGAAATGTTGGTATTGTCTACAATGCTTTTTTTTGTTTTCCCCAGATGATAATGAGGATCAATTCCACAAGAGAGAATTTCGGAACCCTAAATTACCTAACCTAGCTTACTCAACTGTAGTCCCATATAAAACCAGGTTGTTGAACATAAAGAAAGTCATCTACTATTGCATGACCAATACAAAATTTCTTCACAAGAGCCCTAGACTACTAGACTTCGTACGTAGTTGAAGTAAAACAATTCCATGAATTTGAAGAGAATATGCAAATCTTAGCTGCAAAACACCAATATCCCAATTTTTTTTTTTAAAAAAACATCAATCAGCATATATGAACCATAATGGGGGCTTAAACTTTGACAGAGGAGCTTTTGAGAAAAGTGATCAAGAAAACCTTAATATAATCATAGAATTGGTTTTTACATATTTATTTACACAGTTTATATACAAGTTTTGTTATGATAACATAACTGCACTGGCATCCCTGGAAGTTAAGTTCCCTATATGAGAATTGCACTAGAGACCCCTCCATTTTCAGCTGTAGGATGATTTCTAGCTCTTTAATCATCCTGGGACACTAGCTAAAATAGATTTGAGTGTTAATTTTTTTAGTAAAAATGAAACTAATCTGAAAGGTATCTATCCCTTTGATAAAACCAAAATTTGAAATCTATAAATTCAGTAAAGTATTAAGTCACTAAAGTGATAAAATTATATATGTTTGATAACTAAGTGAATTTAAGTAGTGATTGAAATAGCGCACACAATTTTATTTTTAAAAAAATAGTTGCTTTTGTTTGACTGTCAGAGAGCAAGGAAAGTATATGTATGGATGAGAGAGAGAGAGAGAGACTAATGAATATGTGTGGTGAAATCACAAAATTCAGCAAAATAGTTTCACTTAAAAATTTTGAACACAAATTAAACCGTGCTTAATATATTAAATTGTAAGGCATTTCTATTATCAAATATGTTTAATTCAAAATTTTTTTAATGAATTAGTTTTCAACATTAAGTAAAGTAGTCAAATTAACATGTCCAATATAGGAGCAATATATGTGAATATGCATTCATAAGGTGAGTTAGGCGAGAAAAGACGAGAAAAATCATACATTTATTGATGCACTGCATGTACATTTATCATGTTCAAAATTAAGGTAATGAGAATTAGGTTTGTACAAAATTTTGAAGTGCATATAGATCTTGGTATTGGTAATATATTTGATTGCGAAATACAGCTAAGCAGAAAACATCCAATTACTTGACATGATGGACAGTTAACGGCTAAATTAGGTTATTAAACAGTGTCTAAGCCTTTATTAATTTGCAATGCTTGAGACTTGCCACCAATTAATTGGAGTATTTCCAAGTTTTGCTTGAGACTTGCCACAGCCAAACTTTCCTATAATAAGTTTAGTTTAAAGATTCCTGGGGATATATCAGTTTCGTTTTTGGTTTATGCTTCTATGATAGTACAAGCTATATTAGTTTAAGAGAGTAAACAAACCTTCTATGGTTCGAAATCTGCAGCCAAAATTTAACCACAAAATTATGTCCATTTGGCTACCAAACTACTTAAAAAGGTTCCATAATCAGATCCTCGAGGTCTGCATGATCATCCTCAGCTTCAAGTCAGAAGCTAAGCCTAATTAAACAAAACGGTGGAACAAAAATCAATCACCTACTTTCAGAGGCCAACCAAAATATATTTAAGCATATCGAACACACAAATTATGCCCATTTGGCCGCTGAACTAGTATTTAAAAAAGTGCCAATCAAATCCTTGAGATCTGTGTAAACATCATTAGCTTCAAGCAGAAACTTAACCTAATTAATAAACAAACAACTAAACTTTGAAATTTGATAATATAGACGAGAGGGTTCATACTGGCTAGCTTGCATTTATTTGCAACAAGTCTTCTCTATTCTGCAAACCTGATCTGAAGAATTACCATCTTTATATTTTCTTTTTGGTTGATATTAATCTTTTGAATTAGTTGGAGTAATGGGCTTGTACCTTTGTATATTATATGCAGATTTAAAAAGGAAACCGTACACCACGACGCGATCACACTTAACTTCTTTTGATGTTTGATTATATATTTATTGAATGCACACTCCATTAAGCTCTTGTCCAATAATGTCAATTACAATTGTAGGGAGAGACGAGTTGGATAGTATGGGTGGGAAGGCGTATAAATGAGAAAATCTCTCGTTTACACTTAAAAAAATATTAATTATAACTGTTAATGTATGAATTGTCAATCATTCTAACTGATTGTGAAAGTTTGAAAATTAATCATAATCGGTACAGATTTGATAAGATTAATCTTTTTTATATATTGACTGAAATACATACCATATATTAAGAGAATCCACATTCTTTTCATTTGAACCCAAAATAAAAAGAAGCCGAGAAGTACTGACCATGCAAACTATTCATAAACTATTCATAAAAAGTGTATACTAAAAAAGTGTGTAAACAAGGAAGGTGGCATTCTCATGAACGAAACAAAGGATAGAAGAAAAGTCGTTCTGTTGAATAGGATTTCATTCTTAAAGATTGAAAAGATTTACAGTCATATGTTCTAAAGATCATAGCTATTTTCCTTTTCATCATGGCCGGTGGCTCCAACGTATCTGTGAATGGATAGAAATTCCTGTGCTTTTGCACTAAAGAATCCCAATTTAATTGCTCACGTGTGGGTACTGTGTAAAGAAGAGCGCCTCCATATTAACAGTGCTCTCAAGAGAAAGATAAAGGCTATTCAAACGACCTGCAATTGTAGTCCGTACGTCCACACTTGCCACAGAAAGAGGTCGAATACGAACCCCTTCCTAGACCAGTTGACAAGGGCAGAACTTCAAGTCCATATTCTTTTATGGAGGTAAGGTTCCAAGCAAGCATTTTTTGCTCTTCTTTTGACCTTCAATTTCCGAAAGCTAACCCAGCTGCTTGCCATTTATTGACAGTCTTGATACAGGCGAGACGACCCTTAATTAGGAGACCTGATTTCTTGGACGCTTACATCTACCCATAATCCATGCTTTTGCACTATTCTCGATCCAATCCAGGAGTTGAGAAAGGATAGAATTGGGTTTTTATTTTTTCAAGCAGTTGGCTGAATTAAGAAGCAGAAACATAAGTTGATCTTCATTATTGGTGAGCTCCCAATTCCCTTACCTAAGCATGGCCTTTTCTCGATGGTTTCTTTGTTTCACAGCTCCTCGTCTTTTCATTTATCAATTCCTATGATTGTAAAAATTGTATGCTGCATCATTTGTTTCTTGAAAATGTCGGTCATAAAAAGGAACAGAAAATTTATGAGTATTTTTTTTGGGGGTGTTACAAGTACATTCTTGTATTAACTTTCTGTCTCTTGATCATTCGTTTCTTCTGTGATTTGATAATTCATAGGGCATGGACATGGCCAGCTTCAACAATCAATTTGTAATCAACTCAAAGCAGGATGACCAAGTTGATGATGGATTTTTTGACATTAAACCTTTTCTTTCTGAGGTTTTCCCTGCAATATCATATTGTAATTCAGACAGTATTCCGATTCAGATGCCTCAGACTTGCATGAAACAGAAATTCAAGCAGCTTAACGACACCAATTTGAGCCCTACACACCCTACAGTTGAATCAAATCTAAAGGGCTCATCTCCATTCTCTAATACGCAACTTATTTCTTTTGGAAAATCAAGTCCATACTCATCAGATGGTGAGAAATTATACGGTAAAAGTTACAAATCATCGAGTATTACATGAAATTATAAACTTCCCACATTTGATGAATAACTCTTCTGATGAGAACCATTTCCATTTCTCAGAAGATGAAATTGTTTACAATAGCAGAAGCCCCATAAGGAGAACGCCAATTCAAGCTCAATATCATGTTCAGGCAGAAAGGAAGCGAAGAGAAAAGCTGAGTGACCTCTTCATAGCTCTTTCAAAACTTGTTCCAGGCCTCAAAAAGGTATTCGTTCTTTAGCTTAAATCTGGCGCATAAAATTTTTCTACATCTCCTTTCTTTTTCATTCAAGAATTGATACACAGATGATCAAACCAGTGATTATTAGCTGCCCCCAGAGACAGTAAAACTTCTGATCCCCATGAACATGGTCTTATGCTGTCAATTGCCAAGACTGATTACTGTCATCTTGAGAAGGCTATGTAATTGTGTGAAGTAAAGCGGAACAAACACAAGGCCTTGTTTTGCCTGTAGTGTTAACAACGCTGTTATCGTTATTCATGTTTTATCTCATCATATTCCTGGCCCTCAACCTTCGGTAAACAGCCCGGTGGGGGATCCTATCAGCACATGCATCTTGTATTTAACCTTTTCTCGAAGATTCGTAGATTCATGTGCTACAAGAAACTGCAGTCATATTTTAACGTGAAAGCAAGCGGATATGGCCTTATTTGATTTATGAAAAGTTAGTCTAGTGATGTGATCCAATTGCGGCATGAGCTGCTGATGACCATTGGATTCCTCATTTAATATGCATCATCAAACTTCAGCATACATTTTGACAATATCGAATGAGAGGTTTATTAGCAATAGCATACATAATTAATGTGAGTTTATTAGCTGCAACAACATCATTTTATTCATCAAATTCATTTCGTTGAAATTCAGCTGGACAAGGCTTCTGTCCTTGAAGATGCAAATAAGCACATTAAAGAACTCCAAGAACGTTTGAAGACTCTGGAGGAAGAGAAAAAGAACAACTCCACAGCACCGGAAATCATGGTAGAAAGATGTATTATCTCTACATGCAGTGGTAATACTTCTTCCTTCAAAGGCGCCACACTAGAACTAATCCCTGAGATCAAGGTCAAAATCCAGGGCAAAAACGTGCTTGTAAAAATCCTGTGCGAGAAAAAATACCACGGATCCATATCAAGTATGTCAAGTGAACTTGAGAAACTACATCTTACCATCCTGGATACCAGAATCTTAAGATTTGGTTGTTGTACATTTGACATTACTCTTAAGGCTCAGGTACTTTCTACATCCTTTCTCGAATTCTCGACTGAAATAATCCCTAATGGTTTCTACTAAGATATATGGTATGGAATATGGATACTAATGTTTCTGTATCTTCTTTCCTAAATATCCTTGGTTTACCATGTACTTTGCTAATCCTTCAAAATATTATGAAATCTTTCATCCCAAAATTCCAATCCTGCAATACAGCAATTTGACATGATAAGCAAAGAGCTACTACTTCTATATATTTTTGTCTTTATTCTTTTCCCTCCATTGTTTGTAACAGTAATTAACAACCTAACTTTCTCCCTATTTGGAAAGGGGCTACCGGCATTTGGAATGGGAATAGCCAATTAATCCCCCAAGATTGAAAAAGTAAATTTTTTTGAGAAATTGAACTCCTTTTCTCTAACTTTCTTTGAAAAATAATTTTTTTGGTGCCACAAAGTTTTCAGATAGTTTAAATATTAAGCGTCCTTATGTCTTTTACTGCAATAATATGTATGTGTATGTATGTATGTATAGTTCTACTTTCAGTCGCATACTGCATATAATAACCTCATGAATTATCTCCATTACATTTTTGCAGATGGACAATGAATTCTCCGTAACAATGAAGGACATTATAGAGCATCTTCAACAAGGCATATTCCAATTGCACTCATGACGCTCTAAACAAGTTCGTCTCTGAAGATTATGTCCACTTTAATCCCCCAGTAGCTGGTCACTTTCAAAAAAGTAATTTTTTTGTCAAATTTTTCTCACCATAACGTCTGTGTGCAGAACAAGGCCATTTTGCTCATCACTTGTTCTTAAACTTTGTTAATTACCATCCCTGTTTGCATGGTGATCTTTGACCATGTTCAATTGCCTACATGTGTTCCAAATCCATGAACTAAACCAAGTGAAAGTAAGCTTTTTTGGACGTTACAACAAGTAGTTGACCTTTAGATTCCTCCCTCGTGTATTATGTCATCTTCTCAATAGATTAGACAAAAGAAAATAAAGGAAAAAAAGGTGTGTTTTCCCTACTGATTGTTTCTCCAATCACTTACAAGTGATGTAATGGATTAAGTATTCCAATTTAATACGATTTACTGTTAGAATAATTATACTTGCATGTACAAATATTTTAAAGGTATTGAAAACATTAAAAAATTACGCAAATTCAGGATTAATTATTCGCCGAACATGCATTAGTCCAACCTTGTCGAAAAAAGAAGGAAAATGTGACCTATTCGAAACTGAAATCGAAAATAGAAAGACGCAAGTGCTGTACAGTGCTTCTCATTCATTTTTTTGTGCTGCTCCGACAAGAAACATCCTACTGTTTAGGTGTGTCTAGCAAACCCAATGATAGGACATAATTGACAGGCTTTGAATTATTGTCAAATGAAGTTATTATTTGAAAATAGCCCCTGTACTATGTTGAAGTGCAAATTGCTCATTCTTGACCAATTCTACTGCAAACTTCAACCACAAATTTGTAATTTTTTCATCTCATCCTCTCCAATCTCTTCCTTTGGCTATTCACCTCCTATAATTGGGTGTAAATTAATCTTAGTTTCAGCCACTTATTCATCATACTTAGTTCTGATTTGTCTAAAGTAAATGGGAGATAATGCAAAAGAAACGGATAACCTGCTTAACAAGTATCCTTTTCCATTCACTATGAATGAAGCACGGGGATTTGTCCGTAACTCCAAGTTATGGACTTTAACACTGCAACACTAATATTTTTCCTTCTTAAAATACTCGCTAAATCATGAAAGTATGAGGGAGTCCACGTTTAAATTTTTTTTTTTGGTATAAAAAAGTTTGGACGGATTTGAATCCGGTCACTACCACAGGATACCAGGTTACTTATAAAAGTTCTTACAAATCACCCATTAATACAACCTTCACATCAATAATGGGATTCAAATACGTGAGCTGATTGTGCCCAGCTAAAATGCACAAGCACAATTGAGTCTCGGGTGCAGAAACAGAGAAGTGAAAATGCTTAGACCGGAAAGTTTTATGAAATTAATAGAGACTTCTATGCTATTATTGACCCACAGAGTCGTGAAAGCATCAGTATTCTAATTAAATCAGGGACTAGTTTGTAGATAACATATAGGGCTCACATAGAAAATGATGGATGACCTAGAGAAAAATTAAATACTATTATACAAAAAAATTGATGATGTATATATTTGATGGAGCTGTAGAGTCCTTCTTGATGGAATGGAGGGAGAAATCTGAAAAAAATTTCCCAAAAATATGTGGGCATGAGCCAGAATAATAAAAATTTGAAGGGTGGGTGAGACAAAAAAAAAACAGATTTCAAGAATCTTAATTAACGTTAGTGATAGAGACTGGAAATTGGAAGAGGTAATTTAATAAACTAATTGATAAACAAAATTCGATGAGGGATGAGGGCTGTCAATTAGTCATTTCCAGAACTGGAATGAACTCACGATTGAACCAAATCTGGACTCTGCAAAGAGGCATATTGCACATAAAACAATTCAAAAGCCATTTCCTGAATCATGGGAGCTGAAATCAGCATTGATCATGCTTCTCAAACCCTCCAAGAAGGTATGAGTATACAATTTTTAATGAAGTTAATGGTTACATCTAGAGGCAACTCACAAGTATTGTATTCCTGCTTAATTTATTGCTTGAGAGTTTAGGAACAAAAGCTACATCTTATTTTTGGGTTGCAATACCCAACTCTGGAGACATTATTAAAAAGATCTATTTCCTAATAATATGTCCAAAATTCACTTCCTTGGTGCATAAATTGACAATTTTCTTTTTCTTTGCCTATCTCTAATTTTTTAGGGCTTTCGAGTGCATTAACTTTAGGTCAAATTGCATTCTCTTATCCAGTTTTAAGAAAGTTTTTATCCTCGTCTGTTGGTAAAGATCATTAAAAAAAAAAGGCCTGTTTGATGAGAACTAGAGAGACTCATCAATTTCTCAGCTTGCCAAAATATATCTAGATAAACACAAGAAAAATAAAGGCTAAAGAATAGTTGGCACACTATAAAAACAGGAAGATATCTTGCATTATTCAAGTCGTTATTTGGCATTTTGCTCAGCATCGTGGAGGCCAGTCAGCTGAAAGTTGGATAATATTGCTGATCATAATTATCCCAGACAACAAGACACTCCTATCAATTAGGCCGTGGACATTTCAACAGCCAAAAGAGATAGAAATTGGGTTTTTCTTTCTTTTTTTTTTTGGAAAAAAATTGGTTTTTCTTTTGTTGTTGACAATTTGATCGATCAAGTAGTTAATTAACTTAGTCAAGGTACTTGTTAATGGATGTGCATGCTTCATACCAGCTTGAACATTGAAAAAGTTGCAGAAACAATTTTGACTCTAGATCTCCATAATTAAGTTACATATCTTTAGCTCCTTATAGATATAAGCTGGATTCTTGAAACTTAAAGGATAACATAGAAAAGAGGGTACAGATTGGCTTGCATTGACAAGTCTTGCAGGTTCTAAAGGGCTCATTGCGCTTTCAACTAAGCAGAGATGGCACCAGCTCAGCTATGGACTTTTTCATTCTCCATGCAAAATAATTGCAATTCGCTTAATTTGCATGTGTAAATTAAAGTAGAGTGAAGAGGGGATGACTGTGACGCCCCCACTTCTCCCTAAGGCGAACCAAAGGGTATCCGCGGGACGCCTGCCCAGCTCTCGCCGGGACTCACTACAATCGATCATTCAAAAGCTCGAAATACTTTAAGTAACCTCAATACATAATTAAAGTACTTCGAATATCTCACACTTACAATTATGCAGCTTTCAAGCTTAAATACAACCCAATGGAAAAGGGGTACTATAGCCATCCGTTATAATATAACTTAAAGTCTTCAAAAGAAAACAATCTAGTACTACTCACGAGCACCCTTGGTCTCGAACCCTGTAAAAGAAATCCACAACGTGGTATGAGCTACACAGCCCAGTGAGGTTCCAAGACACTCTAACAGTTCAAATAAATCAAATAAGTTGGGCATATCATATGCATGGTTCAAGGTTACACAATGGCATGTTATCATGAGGTGATAATCATTGTACAGGTAATTTGAGACATTTATCATGGTATGAGACATTGGCATGTATAGTTCACGAGTGATTGGAGCTTATTACAGGCATAGCTCAGGATTTCATGTTGGCATTTTAGCACGAAACAATTATTATGATACAAGGTAAACATATACTGTAGGATACGGTGTTCCAGTGGAACTCTGTCGGTCATCTGCACCTTATGACTTCCGGATCCCCTCGGTTTGACTGGCCATCACCTTATCCCTCCAGTGGTAATACTCGAGTATACCGAAACGGTTGTCCAGGGTTCCAACCTACCCGACCGAGCCCAGTCCTGGCTCGAGTAGGTCAGTAACCGAGGCAGGGCCCGAGTTCAGCTTAGAGCTTACAACATGCACAAGTAATCAAGTAATTCGACAAAAGGTAAAATTCATCATTTGAGTAGGTCGAGTGAGATAAAGTACACACTCGCCTAACAATGATGGACAACTTCATATAACATGTGATTCATGATAATCAAGTGATCAAGTGGATACTTAGCACGTAAGCACGTAAGCAATACAAGTTGATTTCATGGGAGCATATAATTCACGGATATCGAATAATCATATAGATTAGAAATCATATGAGCAAATAGTCAGGTAATCAGGTAGTCATGTGGGTTGGTAAACGGTTCACGGTTAACGGTTAACTGTTCACGGTTGACGGTTAATTGACAAGCATTGGTCATATGCATAGGCCATCATTGGCCGTTATCCCATTTTTTACCACGTGAGAGTCGAGGAGATTCACTCCAACGACGTATGCAACCTTAGCATACCAAGTCATGTTATTCGAGTATTTTCAAGCATGAATTATTCATCTCAAAAGAGAACGAGTGCGATAAAGTACACACTCGACTCCATTTTTCAAAACCAAGTAGACTAAGTAAACAATCTAGCAAGTTAAGCATGTATCGAGTTCATATGGTCATTTGATATGGTTAATGATTTAACCAATTCATGTAGATATACAATGCAAGTATACATTCCTTAAATAGGCATGAGTATGGTAAATACTTAACACATAGCACTTAATAATCATGAAATAAGCGTGTCCTAGACTTATTCAATTACGTATTCCTATATGGAACACTCACCTAGTCAAAACAAGCGAGTAGTTTTCAAACAAGCGTTTTAGGTGTCCGCTCCGAGTTCCCCTTGGAGATTCCCTCGAGTGCCTGAGTAAACAACCATTAACTATTATACACTATCACTTAGAACTCCTACTTATCAAAGAAGGTTGTACAATCTAAAGGGAATTCATGAATTGGGCCTTAATTATTAATAATCGAGGCTCAAGAGTAAAGTTTTAAAGTCTAAAGAAAGAGACTAACATTTTTCATGAAATCGAGTTAAAAATGTTCAATCGGTATCGAGAAAAGAAGGTAAGTTTCCAAAATCTCATTTCTAAGAAATTGTCAAATTTTAGCTTTGGGTGTCAATTCTAGAAAAATCGTATCTTGCACTACGTAGGTCCAAAATTGGAAAGCTTGATACCATTGGAAACTACATTCCGAGTACTACAAGTTTCTAGAAGACACTTTCCCATGATTCCAAATGGAAGGTATTCAAAAGTTGGAT